CAACCCTTCTTCTTGAAGCAAGGTATGTTATATGTGAGAGAGAATAGAGCAATTTGGCATCCGTGAAAAGATGCCAAGACCTTATCTAAACTATCCTATCGTTATTTGCTCAGGTAAACAGAGAAAATAGTTCTCTTCTCGGGGTAACAACCTGTTGTGTTGTCAAGGGTTTGCTCTCTTTCTACGGGGCGACTGTGCTAAGGGGCGAGTGACGCCACATATTGTTTCTTAGCCTAACCTTTATAGTTAAGCTATTGTTAAGAGAAACGCAGAGACATAATTAATATTGCGACCAAGTAGCAAGTAGTAATGGGAACGAGCAAGACGGACTGACTGATAGTAGACAAGAGTTTTATCATTGTTGATTTTTTTATTTTTTTAAAAATTTAAATAACAGAGCAGACACGGTCTCAACACCAGTTCAATTGGTGAGGTTTTATTTTGTTTCTATTTTGTTTTTGTGTTTGTCTTTCGCTGTTTTATTTTTTTACTAAATGAGATTCCACTCGTCAGAGCTTTTACAATGACATATTTGTTGTAATAATGTAACGTCTAATCACAAAGGCCCATTTATGGTTCCATTATAGTTTCAATGTATTAAACCAACGTACGAAACCCTATTGTCTCGGGAGTTGCCGGGCCCGAGGATAAAGAGTATTGATTACATCAGGTATGGTGGAGGTCAAGAGCTTTGAATCACAAGGAGCACTGCCATTGATTCCCGTGTCAACGCGTTCTCCTATCCATTTCTCAACGCCAGACAAGCCGCCACCCACTGGGCCACGAGACAGATGGCTGCTCTTCAGGGACTTCCACATAAATTTACCGACTAATTGAGCATGTGGAAACCATTATATACAGGTTGGAAAAAAGATCGGCACATACAAGGCCTTCTTTTTAGAGGATATTATACATGGTTTGATATCTTGCGGCCCTTTCAGAACAACACAGGTTTGAGGGCTCTACTTGTCAACTGAGCTCCAGCTCTGTCATGTAATGCTCAGGTTGTTGGCTGCGAAGTGCAGACGATGTGATCTCAATTCCCCAGAAAGGAAGATGTACTTCTACAAAATTATCTCCGTCTCTCTGCCGGCATGCTGTGTTTCACTCAGCCTGGTTTTCCCCTGGAAGGGTGTATTGTATCAGTCGACTTCCTAAATAATGTTATTGTGACGTAGGGGACATAAAACATTTAAATCAATCAAACATAACACAGTTAATGTCAAGCAATGACGGTGAAAGAACTTACGTATGGGTGTCTACTGGGCTGGGCTGGGTCTTTGCTCAAAATTCAATTAACCTCAGCTTAAGAACATGCGCTGCACAAAGACAACCCACAAAGTGGTCTACTCTTTTGGTTTGTCAAAAAATTAATTAACTATTTTGCTCTCTCTCTCTCTCTCTCTGTCTCTGTCTCTCTCTCTCTCTCTCTCTCTCTCTCTCTCTCTCTCTCAATTTCTTTCTCAATCTATCTATCTATCTATCTATCTATCTATCTATCTATCTATCTATCTATCTATCTATCTATCTATCGATCTATCGATCTATCTATCTATCTATCTTTCTATCTATCTATCTATCTATCTATCTATCTATCTATCTATCTATCGCTCTTGCTCTTCCACTCTTTCTCCATCGCTGCATGAACAATGTAATACAAAGTGGGATCATTTGGTTGACTCATTTCCCATTACACGATGGGACAAAGACTTTCAATCTGTTCAAGCCACTAAGGCTAAAATATGTTCTCTTTGTCATTTGATATGTGTCCAGAAATCAAGAACGAACTTCTTCTAAAATACAACGATGTTTAGTTTAAGGGGGTGGGGGGGGGGCTACACCTGGAGGCTATCTCGCTTATTACTGGACCGAATTTTACCAAATTTCACACATATAACAAGCACATTAAGGAGTCTTAAAATCCGCAATCAAATTTGAGAAAAAAGTTTCGTTTTCATGGATACGCCGCCATATTGTATTTTATTGACATGTCTTACGTAATGAATACCGCACTTATCGCTCATGGAAATTGATTGGTTTTTTTGCATGCGTGTTCACAAACATCAGATCTAAAAATGTGTCTGTTGTTTTTTTCCTAATCGAATTAGAAACATTTTAATGAATTTTTTCCTGAGGTAGCATTCAAGTTTGCGAAAAATCCGTGAAAATCCACACTCCAGACACCACCAACAAAAATCTATTCAATATATCAAAAATTCAACAGACATTTTTAGTATTACCTCTTCTCTTCATTCTGTGAAAATTTCATGAAGATTAGATGAAACATAGTGGAGTTATTCAAAAAAGTATAGAGAAAAGTCGCATTTTGAGAAAACGGCCGATAAAAAAAATTAAAATACTGACTTTATGAGGAAATGGCGGTTACAAACATGCCCGGTATGGGGGAAAAATACGGTTTTGGGGGGTTCTTATGCCATGAAATAGTTGTAGGAGAGGCTGAGGAAGCTAAAAATGCCTACAACTCAAATTCCATGATTTTGAGCCGAATTTTGATTTTGGGGGTGTAGCACCCCCCCCCCCCCCCCCCCCAACCTTAAGAAACAAAGACAAAATTTCAAAATGTAAGTTTCTTATATCTGACCGATATTCTTGTTTTAAGTTCAATAACAGCTGGAATAAACTCACGCGTTAGAATAATATGAAGTCTAATTACAAAGCTTAAGGTAGAGATTGCCTCAAATCTATCACATTGGCCATATTGAGATTTTTGGAGCCTATGATTCTATGAGCACTAATCTCCCCAAAACACTTTATTTTAAGAAGAAGGGTGGCCCGAAAGTATGCTGAATAATGTCTAAAACATGCTAAGGGTGCTCTCAAAGTGCTTAGCAACGCACGTAAACCATGCATACCACTCTTGGTTTCATACTCTAACTATCCTCCTGGAAGGATGGACCTAAATGTTTTGGAGTACTTGTGTACATGGCTGTAGTCATCACTGCTCACTACTGTAGGATAGTATTGGCAGTTTATTACATGGATGCAAACTACAAAATAAACTCTACAGTGGAGGATTACTTGTTCTCAGTCCTTAGTGGAATCCGAGTTTCTGGTATAAATGCAGTAGACCACAGAAAAAGAGGTTTAGGGAGAATCAACACTCTCTTAAGGCCACAACCAACGGCGAATCAAATGACTTACCTATTACTCCTATTACCGATTATGACTACAATACTTTATCTGAGGTGACTGAGCCACACCCAGATCGTTTCATGGAATGCTCATCAGCAAAAAAGATAAAAATAGACACTTCAGAGAATAGCAAAGAAGGAAATCACTTGGATTGTATTCTTTTGATGAACCTGGAGATTCTCGGAAACTTTATTTCTTGCAACATGAAATGCGGAGAATGCGACCGATTTTCCGTGTATTTTGATTTTAATAATGATTATGCCTGTGAGAGATAGCTTTTTGCCATAAAATCAAAGTATCGTGTGTATAAGTGTGTGGGAGAGAGGGTAGATCTGTATGAAAGACTATGTGTCTCCCTGTATGTATGTGTGTATGTGTGCGTGAGTGTGTGTTTTGAGTGTGTGTTTTGTGTGTGTGGATGTGTGTGGGTGTGGGTGTGTGTGTGTTGGTGTGTGTGTGTGTGTGTGTGTGCGATGTAGCACTAAACCAGTGTTCCTGTGCTTGAACAATGAAAGATAATTTTTTCTTTTCTTATCTTTAAAAAAAAAAGGGGGGGGGGGGGGTTGTGACAATCCCAATTACCTAGATATCAGCTATGATGCTTGATAGAATATTTGAACGTTATTACAATTTAGCTCGTATTGCTCATTTTTTGTCAACTTCCCGGTACACTTCTGCTGAGCTCAATTTTCCTTCCTCGGTCAGGTCATGATGGGGGTTCTTTTTTCTCACTTGTCATTATCTCCCTTGAGACATTTGACGAATTGTTTAAGTTAAGTCTGAAACACTAAACAGGGAAACAATGAAATTATAAAATATTAATATAACTTTGAAATTTTAATTTCAGGAAATGAGAAGACTCCGAGACTAATTATCAACAGTTATTTTACCCTTTGCGTTAAGAAGAACAAATGATTGTATTGATTTGAAGTTGTAAATGATAAAAAGTTTGCTCCATTATCATTGTTGAAATGGGAGGTTGAGGCTGATTTACAGCGGTCTGTAAAGCCCAAAATGCCATGTATTTTCACATAGTAACAAATAATACAGAAGAAATGCAGTTTCACGACTGGACAACAAAGTAATGGGGACTGACGTCGAGTGTGTAGTTAAACTCCTGACACTTGCACGCAAAAGACACGAAATCGATTCGTGTGTGAGGAAATCTTATTTTATCGTGTTTCTCTTCTATCTCTGTTTCAGGATGCTATTCCTCATTCTTCTCCGGTTGGCTCTGATAGGCAGGATAAAGCATCCCGCTTCCTAGATTATCTAAATTGTATCGATTTGGGCGCCAGACATGTACGATCATTTATAACTAATGGGACACCAGGGATGTGGAAAGCTTTCAGCGTTTTACCCCCAGGCTGTGTCGTTGACCTAGTAACTATTTCTTTCTCTTCGATTCCTCATTTCCCATCGTTCCTCTGCTAAATCTGTAGGGACGGAAACTGTCAGTGCTTCAATTTGGGAGTGCTACCGCTTGCGTGCAGTAGATTTTCAAATGGTGTGCAACGTATGCAGACTTGAGAGCCACGTAAGAGGGGTTAAGAGTAATTCTAGAGTTTAGAAACCTGATTTGAAACCTTGAAACAGATCTTGGCCAGTATCTTCTCAGACAAAGACAAAATACTTGGAGGTTCCCTGAACAAACTGGGCACTGTAAAGACTGGCAGTTTAGATCAATTAGGAGGAAGTTCTCGTTAGATTAGAACATTGATTAAAAGCTCGATGCTTCATTCTCTGGTCAACGTTCACAAACCTGCTCTTTTTCGACTTCCTACTGTCAGTCAGTGCCAGCCAGTACAAATTCGACGTTACAGGCTCTTCGATGTTGCACTCAGACGACTGTAGTTTGATTCCTGCTTTGGGGAATTCTTTTACCGAGTTTAATCGTTTTTTGCTGGAATGCTGTGTCCTAAGCAGTTAGTTTGTACATGACATGTTGTTGTTGTTGTTGTGGAAGCAGTCCTCCTCCTAAATAATCAACGTCTCCAGCAGTTAACGTGTCCTATTTGCTGATGGAACTTCAGAGTACTGTGCCCTTGTCTGAGATGACTATTGTGCTAGATCCTACCTTTAATTTTTTTAAACGGCTGGGAAAGCCCAAAATATCACCCTAAAAACGGTTTAACTCATTTCAAAGGTGAAACGGTTTCTTTCTTTACTCAGACTCTGAATCTCATTCCGTATAAACTTACGTCCCCTCGCCTCCCTCTTGACTCGCACATCTTAAAATGATGTGGGCTTTTTCTGTTGGGGGAAAATGCATACGCGAGTGCCTTTGGCCACAGGACTTCAGTACTACAGGGGAAATGATATACCCATAAGATTCAGAATCCACTAAAATTCGACCATGTGCTTTCTGTTTGTTTGTCAAGAGCTCTCCAACAAGGTTATGTGACCGTTACAATGCTGTAAATTATTATTTAGGAAATCAACAAAGTGCGAATTCACCGGCCTAAACCTAGCGTGTAATGAAACAAGTAGGCTTGGGTAGAATACGAAGGTCCAATTTCAATACACAAGTCAGCTTTTTTATTCAGGCTTAAATAAAACTGTGAGGAGGCACATGGTAAATAAATGAAAGGTTACAGCGCCTGTGTAATTACCTGCCAACCAGATTACAAGCTACAAGCATAAACCATCCTCGTTTAAAGCTCCGCAGACGGCGTAACCCAGGCCCAGGTCACTTCCCTGGAAAGAGCGGGAAAATTGATGATGCTGATTGATGTAGATGAAGCAGAAACCGTTTGACATATTGAAGATCGGGAGCAGAGGGCATATTATTTCGCCTTAACCCTTTTCAGCTTAATATTATATCACTCGAAAAATCTCTGTCAGTTGAACCCCTTATACATGTACTTATGAAATTGTGAGAAATTGCCTTTTCCTGTGGTCTGTGGCTCATCATCATCCAGTGCCAGATCTGCGACAGACATCGGCGATCATGATGTTCCATTCATTCCTTTGTTCGGATGCTCTCAGAAAAGCTACGTTTCCCTGATCTTTCCCTTTTACCCATTTGTTTAGGTTCCCTAAGTATGTTGTTCTGGGCCTACCCCTGCCTCGCTTGCCCTCAATTTTGCCAGTGAGAGCTTGATGTTCAAGACCCTTATGTCTATTCAGGTGTCCCCAAAACTGCATTTGTCGTTTCCTGATTGTTTTTAACAATGAGCGTCCCACGTGGGCTTCATCAAACACTACCTCATTTGATTTCTTTTCCTCCCACGATACTCTTAGCAGTCTCCTAATAAACCACATTTCTGTTGCCTCTATTTTATTTTCACTATCTTTAGTGATTGTCCAGCATTCACAGCCATATAGAAAGGTTGACCAAATATAGCATTTCAGGACTTTCAGTTTGGTGTTCATTGATATGTTTCTATTTTTCAGGATTGGGCTCATTTTATTGAAACTAGCCTTAGCCATTGCAGTTCTCCTCTTTATTTCTGCGGAAGATTTCGCATCAGATGTTATCATATATCCTAGATATTTAAACTGTTGGACTTGTTTGATCTTTTCACCTTTGCTAATGAGATTACAACTAGGATTTGCTGCTTTTTTTATATTACCATGCATTCTGTTTTCTTTGCATTCAACAATAATCCTTTACGTTCACTTTCTTTTACAACAATGTCTAGAAGCATTTGAAGGTCCCTTTCGAAGCCTGCTATTAAAATCGTGTCATCTGCATATTTGATGTTATTAATATTTTCTCCATTAACTTTGAGGCCTGGACATTCTTCTATGTTTCTAAGGATTGTTTCACTGTACATGTTAAAAAGGTCTGGTGACATAACACATCCTTGCCTCACTCCTCGCCTAATCTGCTTATATTCACTGTATTCTCCATTAATTCGTACAGCAACGTTTTGGTCCCAGTACAAATTTCTGATAATTCTTAGATCTTTTCCATCTATGTCTAGCTTTTCCATTATTTTAAATAGCTCATCATGTCTAACTTTATCGAACGCCTTTGAATAATATATTAAGCATAAATGCAGATCTTTCTGTGCTTCAATATATCTTTCCATTAACATTTGTAAGGTGAGTATAGCATTTCTGGTGCTCTTGTCAGGAACAAAGCCGAATTGTGTTTTAGATATCTCTGGTCTTACACTTCTTCTCAATCTTCCCATTATTACTCGCAGCAATATTTTTGTAAAATGACTCATAAGGCTAATTGTTCTATGCATATCACACTCAGTGGCGCCTGGTGTTTTAGGTAAAGCTATAAAAACTGACTTCATCATATCTTCTGGGATCTCACCGGTGTCATAAATAACATTTAAGAGCTTTGTTATTTCAGTGCCTAGTTCTTCGAGCGCGACAATCACTTCAACTGGAATATTATCTGGCCCTGTGGCTTTGAATTGTTTCATTTTCCTAATGGCAGCTTGTACTTCTGCTTTCAGTATTGGAGGTCCATTTATTTGATTATTTATTACCGGTTTTGTCCTCTATTATCTTTGAAAAGTTCTTCTTTGTATTCTGACCATCTGTTTAAGACATCCCCGTTGTCCATTAAAATATCCCCTCCCTTTGATCTTATGCATCCTGTATTTGAGCATCCTTTTATCCCACTTACTTCTTTGATTTTTGAATGCATGTATTTGCTGTCTTTGTTTTGGTTCTTCTCTATTTGTTGACACTGATCGTTTATCCATGTTTCTTTTGCTTCGATGTATTTTCTCTTTATTTCCCTGTTTAAGATGTTGTACTTTTTCACATTTTATTTTTGCCTTTCTTCTCTCTTCCATTAGGTTTAATATGTCCTGGGTCATCCATTTTTTATTTGCTTTTTTAGCTTTCGGGGGGGATATTTTCTTCCACAGCTTCCATTATTGAGTCTTTCATTGTCCTCCATAGTTCTTCCGATTTAGTAATGTTTTCCAAAGCTTGAAATTTATTTCTTACATCTATGGAGAAACGTTCTTTCATTTCTTGATTTGTCTTTAAAAGACCTATGTCAAATTTATGTTCATACTTTGACTTTTTGAGTTTCTTTAGTCGTATCCGGATTTTACACATGACTGGTACATGATCACTATCACAGCCTGCTCCTGGCATTGATTTAGATGATTGTATTGTGTTTCTAAAAACGTTTCTAAAAAAGTATGAAGTCTATTTGATTTCTACTTCTATCGCCAGGACTCTTCCAAGTGTATCTTCTTCTTGGGTGATTTTCATACCAGGTGTTTGATATCATAAAATTATTTTCTTTGCACCATTCTACCAGTCGTTCCCCGCGTTCATTCTCTCTACCCAGTCCCCATGGCCCAACTATATCTTCTATACGTGTACTTCCTACTTTGGCATTAAAGTCTCCCATGACTATCTTTACATCTTGTGATTTTAACTGTTTCATTGCCTTATCAAGGTCTTCATAAAAAATCTCAATTTCCTCGTTGTCGTGCTCTGATATTGGTGCGTATATTTGGATGACACCTATGTCAAAATGTTTTCCCTCTAATTTAGACAGGATGACTCTATTTGACACTCCCCAAAAACTTTTAATGATCTTTGCTGTTGCTTCGTCAAATAAAATTCAGACTCCTCTTTCATGGGTTTTTCCTCCTAAATATATAATTGTTTTGGATCCCCTTTTAATCAAGCCTGCCCCCTCCCATCTAACTTCTGAAAGGCCTAAAATATTTAGCTTTACCCTATCCATTTCCTGTTCTATATTATCTAATTTGCCTTTCTGGTACATTGTTCTTACATTCCATGTGGCGATGTCAAGTTGCTTATTTTTGCAGCCAGTAGCTGGATGACGATCGGGCGCCACCTGCTGCCTGTGGCAGTCCCTACCGAGCGGGGAGTTCAGAGCTGGATCATGAACCCCCCACTGTTATCTGATAAATGAATGTACTTTTCCGTGATTGTTCTTGGGATATTACAGCAGTGGTTTCCCGTTGCCTACTGCCGGTTTGTGTACAGTTTTTCAGCTAGCTTTTGTCATCCACTGACAACCCACAAGGCAGTGGGGGCTTTGGTAGGTTTTATGGCGCCTCCCGTCGCCAAGATGGTCCCTTCTTCGAGTGTGTGAGGTATTTATTGAAGCACCTGTGTCACCAGGGTTCCCCTCTACTCTCCACGACCATCCCCAATTGGTTCGCGACTGCTTAGCAGCTAACCTCCATATCTGGAGGCCTTTCCCCTATCCACCACCCGGGGACGCGCTGAGATGGGTATGAGGACCCAATACTAAATCTTAGTACTTCCCAGTCTGTGGCTAGTAAAACGAAAAATAGTGTCATTGAACTCTTTATGGTTTCTAATAGCTAGTGATACACACTTCCATTTTTTAAAAAAGAGTCCCCTTTAAAACACGACGCACAAGTTTGTGTGGCATGCAGCAACGACACAACATGGTGTCACCACGACAATACCAGAATGGCGACGTCAGTAGAAGGCAATCACCCGCCGGGCAGATAATCTTTCTCATTTCTCGATAATTTGAAGCATTGTGGGGGACTGTTCATTCATGTATTGCCCGGAACCAATGAGGCGATGTTAATCATTGGGAAGCCAGTCTGCTTCTTTTGGTGTCGTCCATGGTACTTGATAACGTTCCACACTGGAATCGAACTTTCACAATCTGCTTGCCATTACCAGAGAGCCGAACCTTTACACAATAGATTACAGTTTAAATGATTATACTGGGTTTTTACTGCAATGCCCATTATAAAGACGGAGTGGCTACTAATGATATTCTAGATGCTTAAAACAGCACAAGAAATCCTGGTGCGTTAGATTAAGTTACCTCTAGTAGCACATTGCTATATACATCGTCACAGAGAGTTAAAAGCTTGAAAATTAATGGCAACTTTTATTGCAACTTTTGGCATTTTTTGTGGTAACTTTTGGCAACTTTTGAACAAAACAAATGGCAACAAACGCAGATGCTAGACTACAGCTTGGTGAGATATTAACTGAGCTGTGTACCCTAGCTCTTCCAGAAAGGACGAAAACAATTCAAGACCTACATGGATTCAAACTCGAGGGGCATTATTTGTCTCCCTGTCTCACATCCAACTGTAGAACAGTAGTTTCCAATTAATTCTACCTTTCTTAGACTTCCACTTGCATGTGCTAGGTAAACTCATGTTATAGCTAAATGGTTGTGACGATAGTGTTAATGTTTTATACCCCAGTGATGCGACTTCGATCAAAGCGGAGGCTAAATATTGTAAATCTCATGCCAGAGGTTAATTGTAGCAATGGCTGTTGAAGTTTTAAGACACCTCCTCCCCCAACTTCAAAACGAAATTTTTAAAAAAGATGATTTAATTTTCTTTTTAAAGTAGGAGGCAGACTTGCTCAGTCTCCAAAAGTGCCTTCTGCGAGTAACCGGGAGAGGCCTAACATATGCCGGGTGTTATAATCATACTATAATCAATTAACGTAACAAAGAATGATGTGTGTTACACGAATGCGAGAGCCATACCCGGCGAAGACTCCAAGCCAAAATAGTTTGAGCAAAACCAAGAAGGTATAAACCTAGCCGAGTTGTTTGTGACGTAATAGAGACTTTGTAGCGCTGTACTCAGAGACAAGCTCAAGGGGACTTCCTTGTGTCTCCTTGTACAAGGGCTTTGTAGCGCCGTACCTGGGCTTTTGCTCCAGCCATCGTGCTTTACCACAGGGAGCTTGTCCGTCTACACCTTCCCTTACGAAGGAGCGGCAGAGATCACCGCTCACCCGGGGGAAGACGGTAGGGGGTGGGGGGTATTCAGACCTCTCACACGCTGGCCGGTACATAGTTGGGTTCGTATTAAAGGGTAGATTAACGGAGAGAAAAAAGTACTCTGGTAGGGTTGTTAGGTTTGGGGGAAGGGGGAGGGGGGTGTTTGTTTTAAGTTGGGTTAGTTTTTGTGGGTGGGGGGGATAATAATAATAAAAAATAAATTACACTTTTATTTGTAACAGAGGGACACTTTGGTTTACAATGGCAAACATACATACATAAATACATAATTATAAATTACGTACATACATAAATACATGCTTCTTGTATGTCTCCCCGTATTATCAGAGAGAAAAAACAGCTCTATTTTATTAGGGTTTTTAAAATATATTTTCCCCTTTTTTTCTCCTTTTTTTCTCCTTTTTTTCTTTTAATCTCTCCACCCACCTCTCTCTCTCTCTCTCTCTCTCTCTCTCTCTCTCTCTCTCTCTCTCTCTCTCTCGCTCTCTCGCTCTCTATTATATGTTCTCTCTCTTTTTTCTGTCTCTATTTATCTCTCTATCTCTCTCTCTCTCTCTCTCTCTCTCTCTCTATTATATGTTCTCTCTCTTTTTTCTGTCTCTATTTATCTCTCTCTATCTCTCTCTCTCTCTCTCTCTCTCTCTCTCTCTGTCTCTCTCTCTCTCTCTCTCTCTCTCTCTCTCTCTCTCTCTTTCTATCTATCTCACCCCCACCCATCCACACAAGTATCTGCCTCTTCTTTTCTTTTCTCTCATTTTACTTTTCCTGCCGATTCCTCTTTCGCCCGAACACCGTTTCTGCACTATGCAATATCAAAATGAAAACCTTTTTTCAAAATGACATTGGCGAGTTGCCAGTCTGGTGGAAGGCACAATCAAACTTAAAGATGTATGTCCTAGTGTTGCGCTCCATTGTGTTTTCCATCGACAAAGGGAGCCGTGTCCGCTTCTCATCATCATGACATTTTGGCATAGACCGCCAGCCAAAGAGAATGAACTCTACGAAAACAACTCGGTCTCTCCTTCTCTCTTTTTAAACTCTGTCCCGTTCTCTCTCCCTCCCCATCTCTCTCACTTTCTCTCTCTTTTTTTGCTTTATCTCCCTTTGTCTGTCTGTCTGTCTGTCTGTCTGTCTGTCTGTCTGTCTGTCTGTCTGTCTGTCTCTGTCTCTGTCTGTCTGTTTGTCTCTGTCTCTGTCTCTGTCTCTGTCTCTGTCTTTCCCTCTCTTTCTCTCTCTCTCTCTCTCTCTCTCTCTCCCTCTCTCTCTCTCTCTTTCTCTCTCTCCCTCTCTTTCCCTCCCTCTCTCTCTCTCTTTCTCTCTCTCGCTATTTCTCTCCCTATCTATCTATCTATCTATCTATCTATCTATCTATCTATCTATCTATCTATCTAGCTAGCTAGCTAGCTAGCTAGCTAGCTAGCTAGTTACCTATTATTCTATCTCTTTCTCTCTCACACACACGTACACACATACACAACTACATACATGTACATAATACTTACATCCTTTCTCTCTCTCCCTCTCTCTCTCTCTCTCTCTCTCTCTCTCTCTCTATCTATCTATCTATCTATCTATCTATCTATCTATCTCTCTCCCTTCTCTCTCTTTCTCTCCCTCTCTCTACCCCTCTCCCTCTCTCTACCTCTCTGTCTTTCTCTCTACTTTCTCTCTTTCACACACGCATACTCGCGCGCACACACACGCACACACACACACGTACACGCACACACATGCACACACAAACACACACAGATAAACATTCAAAAGCACAGATACTCACTTGCCGATATATATATATATATTTTTTTTTTTTTTAAATATATATATATATATATATATATATATATATATATATATATACGCACACACACGTACAAACTAGTACTTGAATACACTCCCCCTCCCCCCCCCCCACCCCTTGCCCCTGCGTGACAAAAAACCCCCACAAAAAATAGAGCAAAACAAAAAACTGTCGCTGACATTTTCAAACCTTCTCATCAATTGCGTAATCGAAGATGTTTAGCCGTGTCTATAACTGCAAAAAATTTGCGGACCTCACACTTGATTTTCACTTCCCCAGGATCCAGCTGCGCTCGCTTTTTCCCTGTGCAAGATATGCGTTACTCTAATATAAATAACTCAGCCCCTAGTAAAGTTATATATGTGAAACTTCTCCAAACTGTTTAGAATATTATGTTTCCTTTTGCCATAACACATTTTTATGGGGGGAGAAAATTTGGCTTTAGTCAGTCAGGTGTAATCATGTAAAAGTAAGCTTTTGTCCAGACTCAGTTCCGAGCCGGGGTGATTGATTAGATCTAGATCTACTAATAGAGTAAAATGCTCCTCAATCAATGATAATAATAGATAGCATTTGTATAGCGCATATCCCCGCTCAACAGCAGGCTCTATGCGCTTTACACTATATTATTACCCCAGCAGACCATAGAATATTCCGAAACATTCTCAGCTTCCCGGGAAGCATACAGTGCAAGCAGCCGATTAAGCGCTCAAACATTAACAAACTGACAAGATCTTTCGCTGTCTATAGCCGGGTACCCATTCCCACCTGGGTGAAGTGAGGAAAATTCGTGTAAAGTGCCTTTCCCAAGGACACAACGTCGGGCCCCTGACGGGATTCGAACCCACGACCTTACGGTTGCGAGTCCGAGAGCCTAACCACTAGGCCACCGACGCCACATGATAACTCGTTCCAGGTCTATTTCTCGTCATTTTCTTCTCGACCTGCAGACTCTCGGTCCAAATAATCAAGGTTATCGCTGTCTGTGTTCACACAAATTTTGGCGATTACCCCAGGTTCATTCGAATCCCTTGTTTAAAAACTCGTTTTATTGCTTTTCAAATTTAATTGTCAAAAATCGGAAGCATCAACTGGCCTTTGTTTGGATTTAGGTCATTTCGCTCAGGAGTATACTCGAAGGTAATCGTGGCAAACTACAATATACCTTGTTTTATTTATATAGAAATTGTGAACTTGTTATGTGTCCAATGTAGATGGAGAGCTAAAAATCCAAGGATTCAAAAGGCCTTATTGTGTTCTATGTTAGCTGCCTTTTGAAACAAACAGGATGGATTCCTTGAGTACATGTATTTGTTTTCTTATGTTGACTTAGATAACTTTCTCTTTTCCCAGTCAGCCAAATCTCATTAAAATACATATACTATTATGTTTTTAAATAAGCAGAAAGCAATACAGGATAACGAGCAGACGTGGTTAAAACGCTTAAAATCAAACAAAACTTACCTGCTTCAAAGCTCTGTAGATCTGTTCTCCGTGCATCCACGGCAAGGGTGGGTTGGAGTTACACTGTATCCCGATGGTCTTGTTCATATTGTACATTTTTCCCCTTCGGAACACGTAATGGAATACATCTCTTTGTTCTTTGATCATGGCCGTCAGGGCAGCTCTGATGGTGTGGAGCATGTCCACGCTGAGTGCTGCATCCGTCTAGGTCAACAACATGAAAAGAAAATGAAATGATAGATTATTACGTTGCTCCTTTCAATACTCGATTGCTATTTTAAAAGTGCAGTGAATGCCGTTATCGGCCATGGCAGACCTTGTTTCTGGAAAATAAAAATATAAACTTAAGAATGTTTTGTCATCCATCTGTTGTTGTCTATGTGGATGTTCGTTACGTTTCTGTTCACCCTGTCGCGTGATGCAGCAGCTCGCCTTAAAGATGACAGAACAGGTGTCAGGAAGCCCCTTGAAAAAAAAAGGGGGGGGTGGGGCAGTGCTCGTTACCTCTGATCAGGACAGAGGAACAATGGCCTAAGGCGACTAGTTTACGGGCTGAGAACCGTTAGCGGTTGTGATAATCAGTCGTGGCATGGATGCAGGCGAGAAAGAATGAAACACAGTTTGTGTGTCATATTAAATATGAAGAATACGCCACGGTTCAAAAACTCAATGTTTCACAAACAAATCCATACAAAGACATCATACATCTGGCAACGAGGATATAACATGAATTTCTAGTTTCTAGCATCAAAAGTTGTACAGCGAATCTTTAAGGAACTTGGTTTCGTGTGTGAAAAAACAATGGCTGATCACAAATTTTGCTGTCGAATTTCTTCAACTTCTAGGTGAGTCAACTCTCGTTTTCAGGGAATATACAAAACCCTGTGTGTGTGTAAGTGTGTGTGTAAGTATGTGTGAGAGTGTGCGTATGTGTGTTTGTGTGTGTATTAGTGTATGTGAGAGTGTGTGTGTATGTGTGTGTGTATGTGTGTGTGGGGGGTGTGTGTGTATGTATGTGTGTGTGAGTGTGAGTGAAAGAGTGTGTGTTAAATGTGCAGAATTATCTACTGTTCTGGAACGATATGTTTGGCGAACTTATACAACGACACCTCAGGGAGTTATCATCTTTCTCTTTTCTTCTTGAAGTCCCTTCTGTGGGCCATCTAAACCAGAACTAATTAGTACTATGGTATGGGTTCAACATCCACTAGGAATACTGCAAAGTCATTCAGGAGGTGGGACCTCTGCATTTATCGCCCATTTCGGAAAGGTCCGAGCCACGTGGTTCAAGAGCCTTGAAAACTCCCCAGACATTTCAAATTGATCGTGGATTCGGAAAAGGGTCCACCTCTCCATACGCTAGTATGATATCAACTGAGCTTGCGGCGCCCCGCGAGGAGACATTTGTTCTGATGGCATGCAAAGTGCTCTCCCGGAAAGCTGCCTACGCTAAGAAAAATGATATCATTTGGGTAAGTGTTATATATCTTCCCTGAGCCCACTTTCCCAAAACATTTATTTATATGGGTGTTTGTCTCTGCAGTGGGTCGATTTCCCTTTCCTCTGTTGTGTATTCAAACTGAGTGAACTCTAGCCGCCAATGTAAAATAGAGTCAACCCATCAAGGCTAAGTGCTTTTTTTCAGTGGATGCCTGTGCATATATTTATCTTTTTCAAAAATTTCTTTTGTGAGTTTAACGCCCTTCTCCCCCGGCTCCTTGTCGTTGAAAGCTGTAAATAGGAGTTTAAATCCCAAGTGTGGAAGTTGTTACTTCGCATACTGGAAATGTTGCAGTTCACTGAAACAGGGTTGGCCCTAACAGGAAGGGTCAAATCAGGCTGTTTCCTCGAATCTAAACTTTGTCTACGCGAGCGATCAACATTTTCAATCACTACATACAATGCCCTGCAGGACACAAATCCTTTAGAAGGTAGAGTACTTGACCTCGCAACAGTAAAGAACAAGAGAGGCGAGAAGGAAGACAGCAGAGATAGTATTCCAAAGGAAACCGCGCGCACTTACTTGTACGTATGACATTCATGTACGTATCTAAAAGCTTGGCCTTACCTCCTTTTGATGACCAGTGGGTTTACATGAGTATATTACCCCTAACCTATCCCCCCCCCCCCCCCAACCAGTTGTGGAGACACAAAACAGACACACGTTTTTATTGCGATGCTATAGATAGATAGCTCGATAGATAGATAGATAGCTAGACAGCTAGATAGATAGATAGATAGATAGATAGCTAGCTAGGATAGATAGATAGATAGATAGATAGATAGATAGATAGATAGATAGATAGATAGATAGATAGATAGATAGGTAGATAGATAGATAGATAGATAGATTTTAGGGGGATGCCATCTCCCTCATTTTGTCCTTAAAACAAACAAAATGAGTGAGAATATTATTTAAGAGCGAATCATTAAAATTCATGTCTATAATATAGCTATTTACTATCAATGACACTGAGTGTTGTAGAAGCTTGTATTTCAATCAGTACGCCACTTCTGAAAGAATGAAAAGTCAGTGTGTATATTTCTAAAGTAAAAAGTAAATGTTGTTCCCGCATCCGATCCGGACATTGGGGATTGCCTTGTTAGAGACACAACTTCCTGGGCCTTCGGCATATTGTGGTAGGGTGGCCAGTTCCTTTCCAAGCCGTGTCCGAACCGAGGATCGAACCTGGACTTTCCGCTTCGGAGACGAGCACACTATCCGCTCTGCCACAGCACCCTCATTTTTTAAAGTAAGTAATGAAAAAACAACAGCACTATGCTACCTTTAAGTACTAACAGTTTCAGTTTTTACTTTTTGGTTCTGCTCAATACACCCTAAGCCCTTGGGTAAGTCGTTGCGTTGGCGTGATTACATACATCTAGCTTTTTAGTTATGAAATATGGACACCTCAGCAGATATACGCCCAAGAGACGAGAAAATTGAGCACCCGATGAGAAAATGTTCGTCTGGCCTCAGTGAGAGTGGTGATTATGGAAATGTCTCTGGCACAGTGTGACTTGTGTTTACTGTAACGGAATATTCATGTAAAATTAATAAATATCCTTTTTTAAAAATGATGACAAAAGACAAAGCAAAAATAATTTATGAAACTGCAGTTCTCAAAATAATAGCATTTCACTATTCAGATGGAATGCTTGTTCTGAACACTGGATGATGAAAATAAAGACAAACATAATTTTCACATAAAGAACTAGAATTAGGCTTTTCCCCGAAAGGAAAAACAAGGACCATTAACCTGTAAAGGCTGAAATTCTATGAATTTACCAGCTGATCTGATAGTGTTCCCTTTCACTCATCTCAATTTGAGGAGCAGTTGGAAATTCCCAATTGACTCTACAACAAATCTGTTGTCGTTGTTTGTGCCTTTCTTGTTATTGTTGTTTTCTTTGCTACCGTTGTAGTTGATGGTGATGCTGTGCTGCTGATACTGATAGTGTCGTTGCTCTGTTGTTATTGTTGTTTATGATGTTTTTGATATTGTTTTTCATGTCTGTATTCTTGTTTTCTTTGTTGTTTTTATAATTTTAGAGAGCCTTAACCTGACCTTAAAAGTTGTCTAAGATTAAGCAACTAATATACTATACTGGCCAAACAGCCACTGGTAATAGATAGATAGATAAATAGGTAGATAGATTAATAGATAGATAGATAGATAGAAGGATGGATAGATAGATAAATAGATAGATATATACATAGATAGATAGATAGATGGATAGATAGATAGGTGGATAGATAGATAGATAGATAGATAGATAGATAGATAGATAGATAGATAGATAGATAATCATTTTCATATCAAGTGCCTCTGGTTATCCCTGGCACCTTATGACTTGATAAAATCGACACCAAAGTTCCCAAAAAGACATATCCTGAGAGTATGTTTTATAAGCTCAAAATAGAGTCAAAAGCTTGTAGCTTTGCTAGGCTGGCCATGTCGTAAAACTGCCATATTTCAGGATTTTAAATAATAATAAGTAAAGTAATCTATTCTGAACTGTCCTCGGAAAGCATACAGTAGGTGTAGCTAATGTGTCATTGTCATGCGAAAGCTGGGTCTAGACTGTTTTTCATTTTTAAGTGCAATCAGAATTTATAATATCATTCGGTTTCAGAGTCTTTAGGTCAAAATAATTTGTAGAAAGCTTTATTATTGTCATCATTATGATCGTAATAATCATTGTACTTATTATCATCATTAAACATACTTTTGATATTTGTCCATTTGTAATAATAATAATCATAACAATCAAAATCTATGCAACTATTTTTGTGTGTGTACATACTGTATTTATACATATTCGTACATGTACATTATACATATATTTTATACAAATACATAGTCTTTCTTTTATATAAAACAAAGTTTTACATTGATGGGAGTATTTCCAAAGAGAGGGTTAGAACTCAAAGTAAAAAGAAACAAACGAATTACGTATTCCGGTTCATTGGTAGAATGTAGACTCCCAGCCTTGTATGGGAATAGGCGATTTTCCAAATGGGAACTTGCTGGGTTATCGGACCTTTTGCATCCTTAAAGGACATCCAAATTAATAGCATTGAAAAAACGTACATTGGTCGTTATGGCACTTTTTTTAAGGGAACATACAACTAAGTAAAATATGATCGTACTTACGCACTCAATTGAAATTATTTTGTAGTTTATTATTTAAAAATGATCGAGACTTCCAGCTAAATAGCCAGAAACGTAGCTTGGTGCTGGGTTGGGTTGTTTTTTAGATGACCTATGCCACATTTGCAAAAACATAAATTGTTCTATTTTTAGGGGCATAATTTCATGACAATTGAGTTGGCTGGTATTAGGGAGGGGGTGGGGTGGGGGGAGAGGAACTACACCTGCAGACTATCTTGATGTTACCAAAATGCACACCAAG